GTGGGTGACCCCTTATGCACGTGCCACGTGCAAAACGAAGAGGTGTCAGTTTTGTAATTGTTGCAATATCTCGGTAACTACTTGGCCGATTGCGCTGAAAGTTGGCATGTAAGTAGGCACCCACTAGGCACTGCATATCCATGTGCCAGGGTTGGGGTGCTGCTGCACGTGCGCACGCGCAGGGGTCGTTTCCAGATCTCGAGAACGGCTTGACCGATTGCGTCAAATTTGGTACACAGTTAGGGACCGGTTAGTAGGGTGCCGTGCAAAAGTCAGTCGGGACCCATTTTGCACGTGCGCAGTGCATGGTGCCGCTTCCAGATCTCGAGAACGGCTGGGCCGATTGTGCTCAAATTTGGCACATCGCTAGAGACCGGTTAGTAGGGTGCCGTGCACAAGTCAGTTGGAGGTACCCCCTCGCAATTTCGCACGTGCAAGGCCCACCCTCTCGCTCGCTCCGTTAGTTGCCCCAAAAGGCGTTATACTGGTTGCACCCTCAGCCATTTTAACGTGAAAAGTTTGGATCCGTCACTTCCAGCCAGGCTCTCAGGTCATAAATTGGAGTAAAGCAAAATGTCAACTCTGAACAGACATGCCACGCAACCGGCCCTCTTTTCAATATTATTAGCTTTCTGCAATCATCGTCTGACTCCATCTCGATCAAACGCAGCATCCGGTTTCTACAGGGGCGTTTGACTGACCGGCCACACAATAACCAAAAACAAAATCAAAGCTTCATGCACACATATGACATAAGTAAGAAACGGATGAAAAAGGCACAACCAAGGCACAACTCTGCGCGGCAAACAACGGACAATGTCACTCCCACGCAAGATCCCGCGTTTCTTCAGCGGCCTTGAATGGAATGAAAACATTACATTTCTTTTTTGGAGCTATTTGATGACGTCAAAAAATACAATACCCGTTTTAATGGTCAAAATCGAGACAATTACTCACAAAAATGTTTCACTTTAAGCATTACAAATAAATACTTTTAAATATATAAATGACATTGTTTTTTTCAAACAAATCAATATTATTTGCTTACTTAAACGTCATATACAATGCTGAGATCACTACGGGGCTGTCTTAGAGTGTAGCTGCACTGGCAACCTTTAGGCTAGACTCCAGGGGTCATTATACCAGAACAACATGATTCTACCAGCTAGTAGTTCATTTTTCTACTAGATTGGTGCTACGCTCAGCATTTAGGTGCCAGATTCAGAAAAAAGAGTAAGGCGTACCGATGAATAGGTGCCAGAAACAGCTAATTAAGGTCATTTTCCATGATTGGTGCTGGTATCCACCAAATAGGTGCTGAGGACCAATTTTGGGGCGAGTCAGCTTTTAGGTGCCAGAAATAGCTTTTCTGGGACGCAATTAAATGGCGTCCTTTTCATACTACATCGTTTATAATGGTACTTGGTTGTGGCAATAAAATAAACAATAAAAAAAACTTCTAGCTGTTGTTCAGGGGCTGATCATCTCGCGCCTCAGGTACTGCGTGGCTGTGTACGGCAACGGGTCGGCCGCGAACGATAAGATACTTTTAAAAGTTAACTTCGCGACTCGTGTCGTCACCGGTTTGAGAAAGTATGACCACATTTCTCGCGCCCGTAATGACCTGCAGCTGCTCTCGCCGCGACAGATGTTTGAGCTGAGGACTTTGACAACAGCCTACCTACAATGTGCGTGCCAGTGGTGAGCCTGCACCGAGCTCGCCTCTCTGTTCACGACCTTTTCTGAAGCACGAACCTGTGAGCGTGTGACACGATCAGATTCACGCCTACGACCCCCTGCCACGCGCACAGTGACCGGCCAACGCTCGTTTGGTTACCGAGCAGTGTCGCTGCTAAACCGGTTGCCGGTGGGAGCCATGGAGCTAGACTCGCGGGCCGCGGGGCTTCAAGCGCGCTGCTAAGGCACTTGTTCTGTCGTAAGCTTTTATGTGTGCATGTGAGCGTGCAGGACGCAGGTATGACTGTGATGCTATCTGTGATTTTTTGACAACTTTCCCACCCATGTTTTAACTTTGTAACAACTGACACAGAATAGCCACGTCTGCACTGTGGAGTGTCTGCGGAAGTCGTAAATAAATGAATAAATAAATAAATAAATAAATAAATAAATAAATAAATAAATAAATAAAAAAAACACTTGCGAATGCAATTGCGTATTCGATACCTCGCTCCTGAGGCTCTCGGGTACCTACTAACAAGCATAGGCGGCGGAACGATTTGAGACAAGGGGGGGGGGGCACCAGCTCAAGGAGCCAAACCTAGGGTACCCCCAAATCCTGTTTTCTCATCGGATTTAGGCCACTTATTTTTCGTCACAGCCCTGACACGATGATTTTTTTTTTTACTAAACGAAAATGGCAGTTTACCCCCGTATGCATTAGCGTCGCCACGGGGGGGGGGGGGCAAGCGGGGCAGCTTGCCCCCCAACCTCGGACCGGGCACCCCCTGAGATCGATACAGATCCGATGAGATTTTGAAGTCGGGAAAAATGGGGGTACCTTTATGAGAATGTCTGTGAGGTCAGACTCGGTTGGAGCGTGCAGTTTAAATCAGAGTCTGACTCGCAGTCGCCAAATCTTCAAGACTCCGAGTCCAGACTCGGAAATGTCAATGCTGTGATTCATTCCATGTTCCTAGTTCGTTCTTTATTACATTTTACAGCTGGTTTTCATAAGTTTTGGAGTGCTGACACAATTTTCGTTCAAAGCGTGAAACGAAATCTTCGGGGCCTTTCTCAACTCTCGTCAAATGTCTGCGACAGGCTCAAGTACCGTACAAGTGTCGCAGGGCTCATGAGCTTGCTTTAAACAAAGGCTCCTAAGGAGCTCCACTGAGCCCTAAAGAAGCTTTCAGAGGGCCCAAACGGGCCTCTGAAAGTCCCACTGGTGTCCATGTTCGCTGAGGGCCCATACAGGGATCTTTGAGCCTTCGAACATTTCTGAGAACTTTAACTGGCCTCTGATAGTTCAGCCAAACTTTTGAGGCGACAGACTGCTAACCCCAAGCCGGTACATCTGAGGGGTCACAGCTCACGTGTCCCTCTGAGGTCCGCAACACATGCTTATTATGTCCCTCTACGTAAGGTCCTTAGGGATTCGACACAGACCAACTTAGCTACGATCGGTGGCTGGGATAAGTCCTATGCATTTCACGTAAAACCTCTGCATGCATGCGTGAATGGAGGTTTTAGCAGGGTGATCCGATTAAATGGAGCGTTTTTCCCCTTTTTCTGGGTCAGTGGCGGATCCAGTGGGGGGCAAATGGGCATTTCTCCCCCCCCCCCAAAAGGCATAATTCTAACATTACGCCTATGGACGAGGCATGGAAAGAATCGATAAATTGTTATGGTTTGCCCCCACCCCCAAAACTCTGAGCTGGATCCGCCTCTGTTCTGGGCAATGATCATGAGCGTCGAGCGTCTACACAGGGGCCCTCTGCAGTGCGTCGGCAATCGCAGCCACTATATACTACAATTCTACCAGTCGTTTTCGTCATGAAATTGCAAAATTTCGAGTTTTTCTGTGAAAAATTACATGTCATTGCTAGAAGAAAACCTTTGTCACCATCGGATTCCTCGCACCATTGCGCGCCGAATGATATGTAAAACGAGTGAGTCAAGACTGGGGAAAGGCAAGTTTTAACACAAAAGTTGATTTTGCCCCCTCCCCCCAACCGAAAATCTCTGGCGACGCCTATGATCAAATGAAAACACATTGAGCACGGGACATCTTTGGGACAATTGGGACTAATCCTGACCACAGGTGCGGAGTCGGAGTCGGTCGGAGTGGACATCTTTGACCGGAATCGGAGTCGGAGTCGATTTCGGAAACCGGAGCCGGATTTGGAGTCGGAGTCACCGGATATCCATAGACTCCGCAGACGATGCTGGGCTTCGGAGTCGGAGTTGGAGTCGGTCGGAGTCGGTAGTTCTGCCCGGAGTCGGAGCCGGAGTCGGAGTTGATTTTTGGAAGCCGGAGCCGGAGTCGGAGTCACCGAAAATCTATCGACTCCGCTGTGCTGTCCTGACAGCTCACCCCGCTCTGATGCCCGGAGCCAGCTGCCCCTGCAGTCCTCCCACCGACGACCGGTCCCCCGGCGTCGTCCCCGAACAGTGACGCGCCGTCGACATGTCGCCGTGCGCGCCCGGTGTCGTCGGTCCGGAGGGGAGCGGTGCTATCAGCGGCGTGACGGCCGACAAATTATGGTTTTACGACAGCCCGTAAATAATGCCAATATCGGTGTCAGCTAGGGACCGATAGAGACACGCCCGGGCCACCGCGCCCACCGGAGGTGGACAAGGGGACCCAGTCGCGACAAATGTCCGCCGATTACTTATGTGTACCTTCAACATACATCTACCGTGCTGGGACATAAGAACAGTGAATGAGGCAGACACATTAAACCAAAACGGGTGGTGTTGGACAGATCACACACAGACGACCATGACGGAGGTTTTGGCTCAAAGACGTCTGTTGAAAATGTGCATTGTGCCGTCACGGCTGGGACTGACATTGCAGAACACCGGCCGAGCTGACTGCCAAGCTTACGCTCTAGGGTTGGTGGTTTAGTGACCTCCCGGTACGTTCCAGGGTCGGTAATATAGTGACCTCCCGGTACGTTCCGGGGTCGGTGATGTAGTGACCTCCCGGTACGTTCTAGGGTCGGTGATGTAGTGACCTCCCGGTTATACGTTCCAGGGTCGGTGATGTAGTGACCTCACGGTACGTTCCAGGGTTGGTGGTTTAGTGACCTCCCGGTACGCTCCAGGGTCGGTGATGTAGTGACCTCACGGTACGTTCCGGGGTCGGTGATGTAGTGACCTCACGGTTATACGTTCAAGGGTCGGTGATGTAGTGACCTCACGGTACGTTCCTGGGTCGGTGATGTAGTGACCTCACGGTACGTTCCTGGGTCGGTGATGTAGTGACCTCCCGGTACGTTCCAGGGTCGGTGATGTAGTGACCTCCCGGTACGTTCCAGGGTCGGTGATGTAGTGACCCGGCCGCGTCCTCGCCATGGTGGAGAAGGTCGCACCGGCTGGCGACATCTCTGCCCGACCGCCGCTGCTGCTGCTCCTGCTGACAGTGCTGCTGCTGTTGCTGCTGTCTCGGACAGCGGCCGCCAAAGGTGAGGTGGGGAGAGGACGACCGGCCGGTCGGCGCCGTACCGCCTCCCCGCTCTGGTCCGGCCCAACGACTGCAATAACGTGTGACGCTGTTGTGTTTTTGTGATATTGTATGACGTGTTGTGTGACATTATTTATTGAAATCGGGCTGGGTGTGCTCTGAGCAGAACGTGCAGGTCGCTTATAGTGTTTCATCGGTGCCAAAACGCTCTTCCTGCTGGATTAAGCCTTCGACTTCATGATAGTATTGAGCCCTGAATAGTACCGAAGGCGTGTTAGACGACCGGACTGGTGAGCAGAGACTGGCATTCATGGGGAGCATTATTCGCCCACACGAATAAAGATGGTATATCTAAACTAAAATAAATGTAAAACATTTTTTTGGCCCAAGTGACCCACATATGCGTTTTATCGAGTGTCTTGTCGGTCATATGTCATTCGTAGACGGTAGACGGGGATTTAAACTTTATTCTCATAACAAAGGCGTGGAAGTGGTTTTTAGTGATATGACGACCATAACTAATACGCGACCATGATTGTTATAGCCATGTCTGTAATAATATAGATACGAGAATTTCAAATGTAGTTCCCTCACAGGCGAGACACTTCAACTGTCTTATAGAAACTTAAAGAGACCACGCACGGTCCCCAGTCGATGGGTTGGGGTGGGCTGGTGTCACTGTGTCGTTCGTTCTCGCAGTTGGCGCGGGGTCGGACTGACCCTAGAGCTGGCGCCGGCAGCACCTCCAATGGCATGTCTCCACATCTCAGACAGCCATCACCAATGCAAAGCTCATTCAGTCGACAGAACGCAATGGCTGATGTATGCTCGGCCAGATTGCGGGCGGCAGTGACGGATCGCTGCCAATATTCAATGCTAACTTGTGGAAACGATGCATATTGAGCCGTGCGGGCTGGGAGCTGGGCACTGATCGGTGCACCGATCCCGGCGCTGCTCCCAGCTGCCTGAGCGACGAGCCTGTCCAACAGGCAATGGTCACACTTATAACGCTGTGAGAGGCGACGAAATTTATCGATAGGTACTAGGAACACATGCCCCTGTCTGTTTCACTTAATTCACCCATAGGACCTGCTGCCGGTCCTTATAAGCGTATTCCCTATTCCTGTGCATTGTGCATTATGCATGTCTTACTTCCTCTGAAGTGTACGGTATACCTTATACCGTACACTTCCGTTGCGGCCAACGGTATACCTTCGTCTATGAAGGTATACCGTTTAAAATAGCTTATAGCACATCAAAATAAAAAAATCACTGCGCACTACGAAGTTCGATGTCGCTACGAGTCCTGTTTGCTTTTATGGTTTGTTGATTTCTTAGCATCTATTTTGATGTGAAAGTTTAACTTTTGATTACAGTATCAAGTAGGTATTCTCCTGATCTAGCGGGACGCAAAAGCAGGCTCGGGGACGTATCGTTCAGGGCCGCTCAGATACACCGGACCGCCACCAGTGGAGGCCGCTCAGACAGGCCGGACCGCCGATCGCGGGAGGAGGCCCGGCAGACACAACGGCTCTGCGGTCAGTCGCCGACTGCAGGCTGAGGCTATACATATACCGAGAGACCCGGCTCTGCGGCCGGTCCCCACGGCAGGCTATATACCGAGAGACCCGGCTCTGTGGCCAACTCCCCACTGCAGGCTATATACCGAGAGACCCGGCTCTGCGGCCAGTCGCCGACTCCCCACTGCAGGCTGAGGCTATATACCGAGAGACCCGGCTCTGCGGCCAGTCGCCGACTGCAGGCTGAGGCTATATACCGAGAGACCCGGCTCTGCGGCCAGTCCCCACGGCAGGCTATATACCGAGAGACCCGGCTCTGCGGCCGGTCCCCACGGCAGGCTATATACCGAGAGACCCGGCTCTGCAGCCAGCCCCCACTGCAGGCTGAGGCTTTATACCGAGAGACCCGGCTCTATGCGGCCAGCCCCTACTGCAGGCTGAGGCTACATACCGAGAGACCCGGCACTGCAGCCAGTCCCCACTGCAGGCTATATACCGAGAGACCCGGCTCTGCGGCCAGTCCCCGACTCCCCACGGCAGGCTATATACCGAGAGACCCGGCTCTGCGGCCAGTCGCCGACTCCCCACTGCAGGCTGAGGCTATATACCGAGAGACCCGGCTCTGCGGCCAGTCCCCGCTGCAGCCTGAGGCTATATGTATACCGAGAGACCCGGCTCTGCGGCCAGTCGCCGACTCCCCACTGCAGGCTGAGGCTATATACCGAGAGACCCGCGGCCTGTTTACCGCCGGCGGCAAACATTTACGGCGCCGGCCGAGCGCTCTCGGCGCGCCACGTCGCCGCCGACTCTGGAGCTTAAGGCTAAGTGAATGAGACGGAATGCATACACCCCGGCAGTCTAATTTCATTGCGGCTTACTTAAACATTTATAATGTTATTCAGGCTGGATGAATAATAAATGTAGATATAAATCGCGATGTTTTTTGCCCAGGTAGATAACTTTACATGTGTCCGTACGCTTGTAAAAGTGCAACGAAAACGTTTACTGTAACTGACTAGATATATGTGAACGTATGCGCCTATACAGTTAACTTTTCAATCGGTTCTTTCAAAATTAATAATTTTTATCGTTTTGACAACTTCATGACATCAGTTTTTACTTTTTTTATCATAGCTGTCACTTCTCACGCCTGAGTCCATGTTGAAAATGTCGTATTTTGTCAATTACACCACAAGTCGTGGCCTAAATGGCAGCTGCATTATAAGTTTGACGAGAAAAATAATTTGCGGACTAACGACAGCGGGCTGCTCCCTTGCCTGACATTAAACTCCTTCTTTAGGTATTGCAATCAGTTAATGATGCATTCATACTGTCGTGATACAATGGCTACACCATTATTCTATTTGCGCCCCCCTGGCGCAATTGCCATGGGCGCAATTAAAATTGAGGCACTTTTTAATAAAAGCATAGAAGTTATGATAAAGATGTTGCAGGAAGTTTACGGTTTCAGTGATATACAATGAAAAAGGGGTTTTTCTTTCTAAATATCACTCTGAAAATCACACCAATATCGTAAATTTTTATAGCCAACGGTTCAAAATACTGCAAAAAAGTTAAGAAAACGCCATAACATCTTTGATGGCGTAATGAGCCTTGCTGATTGGCTTCATCAGAGTGTTTGGGCCATAAAATGAACAATCCAGTGGTGAAAATAATGTTTTCGAACACAAAATTCTAAACATGCCATTGAATCCGTGGGAATGTTGGTGGGCGCAATTGGTTAGGAGGGCGCAATACACCCACTTTCCCCTAGGTTTGTAGGTTGTAGGTCTGTAGGTTAGGTTGTAGGTTAGGTTGTAGGTTGTAGGTTTGTAGGTTGTAGGTTAGGTCAGGTGAGGTTAGGTTATGTTTGTTTTTGTTTGGTTTGTTTACCAAGAAGCATCTTCGGGTAAAGCGCCTTCCTTTGGTTGGAAAAAAGAAACACGCTAATCGTGCGCGGGTCGAAGCTGATCCATGATTCGGCGAACATCGCGAATGAATGGCGAATCTGTTGCGAATAGTCGGCGATACCTTGGCAACAAGTCGGCGCACGCAGCGACATGTGGGCGGTGAATCGGCGAGTGTTTGGCGATCATGTTCGTTTATTATAAGTTCGGCGAACGGCCACGAAATTTTCATTTTTCATGAAATATTCGTGGCGGTCGTGACGAACCGTAAAAGTCGTGCGGTGGGCACCGACTGGTCTGCGAAATGCCAAGACCGTGGAAGAAAGATCCCGAATCGGTCCGCGACATAGGATGACTTGCATATTCGTGCACATTCGTGTACCAAAATTCGGCAGTGTAACAAGGGCTTTAGTGCCGCGTCGCCGCCGACTCTGGAGCCTAGTGCCGCGTCGCCGCCGACTCTCGGGCCGCGTCGGTGCCGACATTGGCTGAACGGCGCAGAGTCGGTGCCTAATCTGGCCGCGTCGCCGCCAACACTGGGAGATCGGCACTGCGATTGTCGCAGGCCGACGCGACGACTCAGGTCGGCACCATTTGTGGGACACAGACGTCGGTCTTTGGTTGTCACTATGGTTGTCTATGGTTGTCACTATGGTTGTCTATGGTTGTCACTATGGTGGTCTATGGTTGTCACTATGGTGGTCTACGGTTGTCACTATGGTGGTCTATGGTTGTCACTATGGTGGTCTATGGTTATCAGTTGCAGACAGGTTGATCAGTGCGGAGTGGAGCAGAGCAGAGCAGATTGTCGGGATGGTGCCGTCCCTGTGGAAGTGCCGGGGGGGGGGGGGGGGGGGGGGGTGGCTGCCGACAGACGCCATGGTGTTGCCGTCCGGTGCAGCGCAGCAGTCTCCAGAGGAGCACGACTGCACTGCCGCCCGCCCTGCCGCGCTGACCGTCCGTCCCTGCTCTGTGCTCCCTGCCGCGCTGGCCGTCCCTGCACTGCCGCCCGCCCTGCCGCAGTGACCGTCCCCACGATCTGCGTTCCCTGCCGCGGTGACCGTCCCCATGCTCTGTGCTCCCTGCCGTGCTGCCGTATAAAGGCAAAATCCATTATGTTCGGGTGACCTCTGACCTGAGGTAATGGCCTCTGACCCGACATAATGGTTTTGCCTTTGCACGGCAGCGTGGTGGCCGTCCCCATGCTCTGTGCTCCCTGCCGCGGTGGCCGTCCGTGCTCTGCGTTCCCTGCCGCGGTGACCGGCCCTGCTCTGTCCGCCCACACTCCACAGCACACAGACCTACGCGTCACTGACGTTTCTGCACATTAGCCATCTTTTGATGACCTTCAGTGACTTGAGCTGCTCTTGACCTTACTTTTGATCGACTGAGACACATGAGCTCGTTTGCTTCAATGTTTAATATAATTATTTGACAGATGTGTAAAAATGCAAGTGTCAGCAAGGCTGTTCCGTAGCTCGACGGAACGGCCTTGCTGACACTTGCATTGCTTCAATGTCTCTTATCCCTATTCCTGGCGGGCTCCGCCGGGACAAGAAACTGGCGGGGGGGGGCCGATTCGGCCCCCCCCCCTAAGATCTCGAGAACGAAGCAAGATAGCGACAAGCGGTAAACGGCATCGGATACGCACGGCCAAGATCTACAATTTTTATTAAGGTCATTTTCAGGTCAGGTCAAAGATGACGTCACAGGGGTCGAAAAAGTCAAAATGGCGGCACTAGATATGGAGAGAGTTTTTCTCGAATAACTTTCGAATTAGTCAAGATAGGAACAAACTAAGGGCATCATCGTGATCCTCTCGTCAATCCGCATCGAATGATATATATGTTGACCTCGAAAGGTCAAGGTCAAAGGTTGACCTCAGGTCACGTGACCTCGAGGTCATCATGTATATCATTCGATGCGTCTTGACGAGCTGAACACAATGAGACCATCCACGCGTCTGTATCTTGTTCCTGTACGGAGTTATTGGCCAAAAACCTTTGGTGACCTTTGATGACGTCACATGACCTCACAGCTGCCCAACAGCAAAACAGACCTCAAGGTAGTGAAGGTTGATCGTATATGAAGTCATGTATGGTATATGGGGCCATTCCGACCCGTTTTAGTGGTAAAAACAGGGAGTTGATTTTTCCCCCATTGACTTATAATTGCACATACTGGTACCCTAACTAAACCCTGAAGAGAAGAAATTGATCGATCAAAAACTCTAGCTCTGGCGTGATTGCAAACTTTTCTGAGGTAGGGTCACCAAACCGCCTCTGGTGACCTGACCTGAGGTCAGATCAACTCAAAATTTTCAGACATGTTGCGTAGAAGCCTTTTAGGAAAAGTCAGAAAATTTGAGCTTCCTAGCTCAACGCGTTTGGGAGAAATAACCAAAAAACCTCAGGGGGGGGGCTCCTGAGGCCCCCCCCGCCAGGAATAGGGTTATGTCTATGAATGCAAGCTCGAGTCAGTTCGAGTACAACATCGAACACGCTCCTCTTAGTTCGATGTTATACTCGAGCTGACCTCCCCTGATGTCTCTAATTTCGGTCTGGTACGCGTGCCGGTCTGACCTGACCCGGCGCGAGGCTGTCCTGTCGGCGCGGTGCCCCACGTCTGGCCACTGCACTGGGTCTGCTAGTCTCTGGCCGTGGCGCGGTATACTGTGATAGATCGGCCGCTCTGCGCGGTCCCCACTGACGGCGGGCGCCGGCCGGCCCGCCGCTCTCCGGTAGCTCACGCCCGGCTGGCCGTTGCGGGCAGGTCCGCCGGTGCGCGTGCAGCCGGTGTCGGCGCACCTAGTGGCGCGGCTGGGCGGCGCGGCGCGGCTCACCTGTCCCGTGGCCGGCTCGCCGCCGCCGCTGCTCGAGTGGCGCAAGGACGGCGCCCAGGTGCTGCCCGGCTGGCGCCGCTTCAGCCGCCAGGGCAACACACTGCACGTGGCCCGTCTGACGGCCGACGACGCCGGCGTCTACGTGTGCGTGGCCGTCAACGGGTTCGGCACCGAGCGCGTCACCACCGAGCTGTTCGTCATCGGTGAGTGGGCCGCCGCCACGCGCTGTCCGGGGGTGAGTCGGACTCCGCCGCGCGCTGTCCGGGGGTGAGTCGGACTCCGCCGCCTTCCGGGGATCGGCCCGCGGCTGTCCTGGGTGAGGGACCGACCCGGGGAGCGGGGCCCAGAACACCCCGAACCTCTCGTGGAGCGTGCTTCCGTCCGGGATCGATCCGGGCCCCGGGGGCGGCCAGCCGACCGAGGAGAGGAGAGGACTGAGGAGAGGCGCCCCCTCGGCGCCCCCTCCGGCCAGTGAGCGTGTGTCGGGGAGTGCACTGGGACCGGGAAGGGGCGGCTCTCTCAGTTCCCCGGCGATTGGCGGCTGCTCTCTGCAGTCCATAGCACCTGCTCAACAGGCGCACGCAGTTCGCCCTTCGAACTCATCAACGGATTGACTGAATAAGATGATCAGACTCGCCCGACCCAAGTTTAACGAGGTCTTGTATTAGTTTGTGCATGACATCGTACCTCAGTGAAGGATGCCACTGAATTATGTGAGCCCGTACATTTATACGGGTGTTTGAGTTCGGCCTGTGGGCGTGCCGACAGACCCGGAGACGAGCGGCGCGCCGGCGCTGTCCGGCGGCGGCGAGGGGCCGGCCGATAACCTGCTGACGTCCGTCCACGGGCCGCCGGTGATCCGGGCCTCGCCCGACCACCCGGACCGGAGGGTGCGCGCGCCGCTCGGCTCGCGGCTCCAGCTCGGCTGCGCCGCCGACGGCCACCCGCCGCCCCAGCTCAAATGGTACAAGGTCAGTCGCAGGTCAAATGGTACAAGGTCAGTCGCAGGTCAGTTGGTACAAGGTCAGTCGCAGGTCAATTGGTACAAGGTCAGTTCACTAGTGCGAGGTCAGTCCCAGGTCAAATGCTGCGAGGTCAGTCTCAGGTCAAATGCTGCGAGGTCAGTCTCAGGTCGAATGGGACAAGGTCAGTCCTAAGTCAAAGGCACGTGATCAGTCTGAGATCACCGGTCAGGGGTCAATGACAACAGTAACTGATAATGTAAGCCTAGATCAGCAGGTAACCTGCAGCTGCCACGTGTCTGTGCGCCACAGGCGGGTCGGCCGGTGCTGCCCAGCACTCGGCTCTACGTGCAGGAGGACGGCCAGCTGGTGTTTTCCCAGCTGGTCCGCTCCGACGAAGCCGTCTTCATCTGCGTGGCCTCCAACATATTCGGCTCGGCCAACCACAGCTTCAGCCTGCGGGTCTCCGGTGAGTGGACACCTGACTTCAGACTCCTGGCGGAAAACCTCTGAACGGGGACCGCTGACAGACCACTGCTGACCGCTGACAGACCACCGCTGACCGCTGACAGACCGCTGCTGACTGCTGACAGACCGCTGCTGACCGGTGAAACACCATTGCAGACCGCTGCTGACCGCTGGCAGACCGCTGACAGACCACTGCTGACCCTGCTGACCGCTGACAGACCGCTGCTGACCGCTGACCGGTCAAGGCGGAACGGAGCACGCCCAGGTCGCTCTGCGCTGCCGCTGAACCGCTGTCCCCACTCCCAGGCTGGGGCGGGTGGTTGGGGCTCCCAATACATGTGTCGCCCGTCCTCTGTGGCTCGGCCGTCGCTCTGTCTGACTGCTGGGCCCGCGTGTCCCCCGTCCCCCAGAGCCGGAGTCTGCCGACCCGCTGTTTCTGGAGGTGCCGGCCAACTCCACAGTGGCCGAGGGTGACACCGCCGTGCTCAGGTGCCGCGTGCAGAGCGTCTCCAAGGCGCACCTCAAGGTAGGGCTCGGCCGGCGGTCGGCCGTGGCGCGTGCCGTGTGTAGGCCGAGACCGAATGGGGGCAGTCACTGCGTCACCGCGACACCAGGCGGCGCACGCCATAGCCGCACAAACAGTAGTCCGTAATCCAGTCCGTGTTTAAGGACCCACCACCCCCACCCCGCCCCGTGAGTCACGCTTATTCAACTGACCATTCTCCATAGATTCTCGCAGGAGCTGCACTGCCCGTTTGGTAATGGTGAACTACTTCGCCTGCCCTCACTTCGCTGATACACCCTAGCCGCTGACACTCCGTGACCCGACCTCCCGCCCTCTGCTGACGTTCTGTTGCCCCGGCGCCCGCTGCTGAGCCCGTGTCTGCGCGCTGACCGTCCGGCCGTGCCGGCAGTGGGTGCGGCGACTGTCGGCCGGCGCCGCTCCCACCTTCAACCACACGCAGACGGTGACCATCAAGGGGCGCCGGTACGCGGTCCTCTCCGGGGCGTCCAGCTCGCAGCAGGGCGACCGGTTCTCCAGTGAGCTGCGGCTGCCGGCCGTGTCCGCCGGCCAGCAGGGCGTCTACGTCTGTCTGGCCGCCAACGGACACGGCTACCTGGGCCGGGAGGCGCTCCTTCAGGTGACCTCAGGTGAGGCCGGGCGATCACTGGGATCGCTGGGATAGGGGATCGCTGGGGTCGGGGAGCACTGGAAGGTGCCGGCAGGGGCTGACTGCAGCGCTTCCGTGCTTTGCCAATTTGCATTTAATTTATAAAAGTACCTGTGTTTAAAGACCTTACTGGTGTGAGAAGCCCAACGGTGGTGTTCTCAAAGCGGCGGCTGCTGCCGCCCGCCCGCCCGACTGACTGACGCGTTCTCTCGGCGGCAGCCCCTCCCAGCTCGGCGCCGGCGCTGCTGCTGGCGCTGCCGGCAGTCGCCGTGGTGGCGCTGGTCCTCGCCGCCGCCTGCTGCCTGCACCGGCGCCGACGGGCCGCGCCGCCGCCGGCCGCCGACCGCAAGAGGAGCCGGCGGCCGGCGGCGGCGGGCGCGCTGCCCTCGGGCGGGCGCACCGACCACGTGTCGCCGCGGCTCCCGGGAGACGGCCAGCGGGCGGTGCGCGCCGCGCTGCTGCCGCCGGCCGCACGGCTCGGCGCCGACGGCGCCAGCGTGTCGCACAAGCACGAGCCGGCGCCGACACTCGACTACCGGCAGCTCCGACACCTGGACGTCGTGTGAGAGCGGCCCGAGCCGGCGTGGGCGGCCCGAGCCAGTGGGAGCGGTCTGAGCCGGCGTGAGCGGCCCGAACCGGCGTGAGCGGCCCGAGCCAGTGGGAGCGGTCTGAGCCGGCGTGAGCGGCCCGAACCGGCGTGAGCGGCCCGAGCCAGTGGGAGCGGCCTGAGCCGGCGTGGGCGGCCCGAGCCAGTGGGAGCGGCCCGAGCCGGCGTGAGCGGCCCGAGCCAGTGCGCGCCGCCCGGTAACGGAGCACAACAGCATAAAGTGCCTGAGCAGTTAGGCACAAACAGTAATGTGCGACCGTGGAGCCGAGTGCCAGGACAATAGTGTAGATGCGCGACTGAATATCGGAACTGGTGCGTGACCGCACAACCAAGCGCCAAAACTATGGACTGTGACGGCGCAGTCGAGTGCCAAAACAACAGTGCGACCCCCAGACCTAGGGTCAAACCTCTGAGCGTGGTATGCGAGACGGAGCGTCGGATACAGGGTACGGATGCGCGGCGGAGCGTCGGCTACAGGGTGTGACGGCCGCTCAGGTCAGTATCAGAACCACAGGGTATGGATTATGGTCGGTATGTCGAGCTGCAGCTTAGTGTCGGTGCCTGAAGGCAGCGAGTACCGGCGGGACGGGTCGGCGTCCGCCCGCCCTGTGATCCATGTCCCGTGGTCCCGAGACCCCTGACGGGTCGCCCGTGATCCCAGGTACGGACGGAGGACACCGTCCGGTCGTCCCCGAGAGCAGCCCACCTAGTCAGAGCGGACCGGCGCGGCCACCCGCGGCGGTCTCACCGCAGCGCGGCTAGCGACTCGGCGTGTGCCATATTGTTCTACGTGATGTGTGTCCACTGTCCAATGTTCATTGAGAGGCTCCTAGAGCACATGTGTGTATGTCTTCACAAAGTCGAATGCTTATCGTAACAGTTTTCATTTATATCATTCCTCTGAGAGCAGGGCAATATACACAACTTTAAAACAAGTTAGTTTGCTAGCTCAGCATTCGATAGTCAAAACAAACGCAATCAAAACAATACATCGCCAACTCATTTGGGGCTTATATTACCGGTTCACAGGACTAGAGCCCCCGATAACTAAGTGGCAACGAGACTTCCTAGACGCCGGCGCTGCTGAGAGTTCCGCCAGCCGCCCCCATCCCATAAGCACCCTAGCACACCCCACAGCGGGACCGCGGCCACGGACTCCTCCGCGCCCAGTGGCCGACGGATGGGCGCGCAGGCACTGGCTGGACTTGGACGTGTAGGTATATACGCGCTAAGCGGGTGCGGCATAGGGTGGTCCTTATTTTCGAAAATCGTATTTGGATACCTTGCGCCCCTTCAATCGGTGCCGTTTAACGAAAAAACCTGTCTGTCAAAATTTCAGATCCCTACTTTATTATTTACTGGTAGCTCAACGCTCGTTCGTTCGTCAATGTTCGCTCAATGTCCGTTTCGTTGATCAACGTTCGTTCCCTCTTCCTCAGGTGTAACGGTTGTCTGCGTCGCAAACTTCTGGGTACATGGTGTCCCCCAGTTATGAACTCCTTGGCTCCAAGTTCCCAGTAGCGGCGGAACACCTTCAATTAGGGGGGGGGGGGGCACTGCCGACTTTTGGTCCCATTCTTTCCATGCAACGCCCATAGGGCTATACTAAAATGGCAAAATTAAGGGGGGCACGGTGCTCCGGTGCCCCCTCCCGTTCCACCACCTATGCAAGCTCCCATCCCGCGGCCAATCTCTCGCCTACTTCCTCCACCGCCACCAAATCCTCTAGGAAACGGTCCGGGAAGCGGCCAACCGGACGTTAGAGAAGGTACTAGAGTAGAGGAGTTCTGGGCCAGGGCCAGGAATCCCACCCAGCACAAAGGGAGAGCGGTCAAGAAGGTGGAAACTCTCTTCGACGAGTGGAAACGCCTGAAAAAGAACAAGAACAGGACTTCCGCCACCCAAACAAGCAACGAGGACGTATTCAAGAAACAACTGGAAAATATCTTTGATATCGCCCACGGTGACGCAATGTCCTTGATACCTAACCATCCCGGAAGATCGCGCCTTCCTTCTCGCCCAACGTGAGCCAGGGAGACGGGATAGAATGACAGAGGCAGACATGGCGCTCCATTCCCAAGAAAAGAAGAAGAGGAGGAGGGATGACGCCGAAGAGAGGAGGAGGAGCAAGGCGTCGCGTCGGAGGAGGCGCGGGCGGCAGCCGACCAAGTGGAGCTGGAAAGCATAACCTCGAGTAGCTCCGAATCGTCCCCACTTCGCGGAGCCGTGAGACCTGGCCCCAGCATGGGTACAGCCACTCTGTCATCCCGAAAGCGTGGTCGAACCACGGCCATCACGCCGCAACTTTCCGCTAACGTCTAACGTGTGTGTGTGTGGGGGGGGGGGGGGTCGGTTGGACCCCTCTGCCTTTTGGCTCCAGATCGCGCTAGAGCTTTGCGAAAAAACGAGCGTGTTGCCCGTGACGAGAGGAAACCGATGATATCCAATTTAAGGTCCTAGGTCATTGGTTGACCTTCCAGGTCAGGTCAATGACCCAGTGGTCAGAAAAATCGGGACCTGCAAGAGCTTCGTACAGTGAAGCTGTATTGTTTTTGGGGGTGCTGATCACGAATTTCATGCTAGTTTTGATCACATATGATGTCCTCGTGCATTTAGACCAGGTCGGGTCAGGTCAGGTCAGGTCAGCCATTAGGCGTCCTGCCGGCTACCCATAGTAGGTCTGAACTACCACTGGTGGCGTCGTAACACATAACAAAGGCACCAAAACTACTTCGTAAATGTTCAAATGGATGCTAAATTCGAAATCAGCCCGAAAAACTGCCCTAGAAACATGTATACCTCGGAAAAGTGACACGAGGTCATCATAGGTCAATGACCTGACCTGACCTGACCTTCAGGTGACCTTGACACCCACCGTAATGCATGGGGCGAACATCATTTCACATGTTTGGACGTTTATAATCGCAAAAATATTAGAAACACGCGGATAATGAGAGCTGACATACGCTGAATCGCGACTCCGGCCAAACATGGTCTCGAGAAATAGGTCACAGGTCAAAGGTCATTTGGGTCAGGGTCATGAAATTTTCATAGTATGTATAAAATTGATCATCTCGAGGATACTGAAAGTCTCGTCGCGATCGGCCGCTTTTTACGTGAGTTATTCGCGAAAACTCATGGGGGTCCATCCCACCCCTACACATACGAGGGTTAATATGCATTGAGCCACCAAAAAGCATCCGCCGATTTCGCTCTTTTTGCTCTTTTTCCACGTTTCTAGACGAATGGCATCATTTGAGGGGGCGCAAGCGCGAAAAAATAAAAATAAAAATTTTGTATGGAAATAAGGACCACCCTAGTGCGGCAGCTTCGCAGCGAAACAAGGCACAAAAGCTATCGGCCCGGCGGCAGCCGCGGCTCCACCGGCCGCGGCTCCGGGCCCGTGACACTCACAGCCGGTCGGGGCGGGGGCCGGTCAGCGCGGGGTGGGCGGCGGCCGGCCGTCCAGCACCGGCGGCTTGCGGCGCTCCCTGACCGACACGGGGCCGACGCTGAGCCGCGGCGCCGACCACCGGCCCGCCGTCGCCGCGGCGGCAGCGGCGGCGGGCCGAACGCCCGGGGACGCCGGCTGGCGCCGCGCGCACGGCGCCGCGGCGGGCGGCGGGCGCGGCGAGCGGGCACCGCGGCTGGCCGGGGCCGGCCGGCCGACACCGGCACCGGGCGCCGGGCCGCCCTGGACGTCACACTCGGCCAGCTCCCTGCTCAGCGTCGAGAGCACCACCTCCTGCAGCATCCGCACAGCGGGTCAGAGAAAACACACAGTATTGTAACCAACCCACAGCGGGTCAGAGAAACACAGTACAACCCCTGTAACCAACCCACCGCGGGTCAGAGAAACACGGTACAACCTCCTGCAACCAACCCACAGCGAGTCAGAGAACACACAGCACCACCTCCTGCAACATCCGCACAGAGGGTCAGAGAAAACACAGCACCACCTCCTGCAACATCCGCACAGCGGGTCAGAGAGAACACAGCACCACCTCCTGTAACCAACCCACAGCGGGTCAGAGAAAACACAGCACAACCTTCTGTAACCAACCAACAGCGGGTCAGAGAAAACACAGTAAAACCCCCTGTAACCAACCAACAGCGGGTCAGAGAAAACACACAGCACCACCTCCTGTAACCAACCCACAGCGGGTCAGAGAAAACACACAGCACAGCCCCCTGCTCAGCGTCGACAGCACCACCTCCTGTAACCAACCCACAGCGGGTCAGAGAACACACAGCACAACCTTCTGTAACCAACCCACAGCGGGTCAGAGAACACACAGCACCACCTCCTGTAACCAACCCACAGCGGGTCAGAGAACACAGCACCACCTCCTGCAACCAACCCACAGCGGGTCAGAGAAACACAGTACAACCTCCTGCAACATCCGCACAGCGGGTCAGAGAAAACACAGTACAACCTCCTGTAACCAACAGCGGGTCAGAGAAAACACACAGCACCACCTCCTGTAACCAACCCACAGCGGGTCAGAGAACACAGCACCACCTCCTGCAACCAACCCACAGCGGGTCAGAGAAACACAGTACAACCTCCTGCAACATCCGCACAGCGGGTCAGAGAAAACACAGTACAACCTCCTGTAACCAACCAACAGCGGGTCAGAGAAAACACACAGCACAACCTCCTGTAACCAACCAACAGCGGGTCAGAGAAAACACAGTACAACCTCCTGTAACCAACCAACAGCGGGTCAGAGAAAACACACAGCACAACCTCCTGTAACCAACCCACAGCGGGTCAGAGAGAACACACAGTACAGCCCCCTGTGATGACCGCACAGCGAATCAGAGAAAACACAGCACAACCCCTGTAATATCCGCACAAGACGACCATGCCCTCACGTATTTTCAATCAGCTTCCCTTTCACGAATTGGCATTGTTGTGGTCGATTTTATCATGACTAGATTCTAAAACTCAACGTTACCGGTACTTTATAGCAAATGTTTAATTTCGACACATTGAATCTTGTCATCAGACACTGCGACTGGCCCTGTTTTTTACCATCGCCATGCCGTCTCACATTTCCGCTCCATTTCCGCTCTCCGGTCTCCCGTTCATATTGACGATCATTGATACGGCTCAACGATACTGTGATGTAACACCTTACAACTCATAAATCCGTTCATAGATGGCGTTGCTACCGCGCCCCTTGGTAATGCCACGGATCACATAAGGTGATCCGTGGTAATGCTGTGCCGCAGCACCTTACGACTCATATTCCCGTTCATAGATGGCGTTATAACCGCGCGCCTGATTGATGCTGTGCCGCAGCACCTTACTCTTCACAACTCACATTCCCGTTCATAGATGGCGTTGCTACTCCGCGCCTGAATGATGCTGTGCCGCAGGACCTTAGTCTTCACAATTCACATTCCCGTTCATAGATGGCGTTGCTATTCGGCGCCTGAATGATGCTGTGCCGCAGCACCAACAACTCATATCCCCGTTCATAGATGGCGTTGCTACCGCGCGCCTGAATGATGCTGTGCCGCAGCACCTAACAACTCATATCCCCGTTCATAGATGGCGTTGCTATTCGGCGCCTGAATGATGCTGTGCCGCAACACCAAACAACTCATATCCCCGTTCACAGGTGGCGTTGCTACCGCGCGCCTGAATGATACTGTGCCGCAGCACCTAGCGACTCGTATTCCTCTCCATAGATGGCGTTGCTATTCGGCGCCTGAATGATACTGTGCCGCAGCACCTTTCAACTCATATTCCCGTTCGTAGATGGCGTCGTTCCCGCGCACCCGAATGATGCTGTGTCGCAGGAGCTTAGTCTTCACAACTCCCGTTCATAGATGTCATAGAATCCCGTCCATAGATGGCGGCAGGGGTGGATTTTTATATTAAGTTGGGGTTGCACGTGCAACCCCAACTTTGAATTGTGCAACCCCAACATCGGTTTATGCAACCCCAACTTTACAACTGAAATAAATCGGCGGGCGACTCGAACGGTGCCGCCCCCATAACCATGAGTCATCCCAAAACTCTATGCCACCCGTTGACTTGGCACCATCTTTCAAAAGAGCCCTACCCATCATGTAGGCAATAGTCAGTAGTCACCCCTCAACTATCTAGTGTAGTTGCCGCCTCCTCAGACCTCAAATGTAGGTGCCGCTCCCTCGAATGTAGGTGCCGCCCCCTCGAATGTAAGTGCCGCCCCCTCGAATGTAAGTGCCGCCCCTCGAATGTAGGTGCCGCCCCCTCGAATGTAGGTGCCGCCCCTTTAAATGTAAGAACCGCCCCCTCGAATGTAGGTGCCGCCCCCTCGAATATAGGCGCCGCCCATTAAATGTAGGTGCCATCCCCTCGAATGTAGGTGCCACCCCCTCGAATGTTGGTGCCACCCCTCGAATGTACCTAAATGCCGCCCCTCGAATGTACGTGCCGCCCCCTCGAATGTAAGTGCCGCCCCCTCAAATGTTAGTGCCGCTCCCTCCCTCGAACGTAGATGCCGGCCCTCCTCGAATGTAAGTGCCGTCCCCTCGAATGTAGGTGCCGCCCCCTCGAATGTTGGTGTCGCCCCCTCGAATGTAGGTGCCGCCCCCTCAAATGTTAATGTCGCCCCTCGAATGTAGGCACTGTCTCCTCGAATGTAGGCACTGTCTCCTCGAATGTGGGTGCCGCCCCCTCAAATGTTAGTGCCGCCCCCTCGAATGTAGGTGCCGGCCCTCCTCGAATGCAGGTGCCGCCCCTGAAATGTTAGTGCCGCCCCCTCGAATGTAGATGCCGGCCCTCCTCGAATGTTGGTGCCGCCCCCTCAAATGTACCTAAATGCCGCCCCTCGAATGTAGGTGCCGCCCCCTCGAATGTAAGTGCCGCCCCCTCAAATGTTAGTGGCGCCCCCTCGAATGTAAGTGCCGGCCCTCCTCGAATGCAGGTGCCGCCCCCTCGAATGTAGATGCCGGCCCTCCTTGAATGTAGGTGCCGCCCCCTCAAATGTTAGTGCCGCCCCCTCGAATGTAGATGCCGGCTCTCCTCGAATGTAGGTGCCGCCCCCTCAAATGTTAGTGCCGCCCCCTCGAATGTAGATGCCGGCCCTCCTCGAATGTAGGTGCCGCCCCCTCAAATGTTAGTGCCGCCCCCTCGAGTGTAGATGCCGGCCCTCCTCGAATGTAGGTGCCGCCCCCTCAAATGTTAGTGCCGCCCCCTCGAATGTAGATGCCGGCCCTCCTCGAATGTAGGTGCCGCCCCCTCAAATGTTAGTGCCGCCCCCTCGAATGTAGGTGCCGGCCCTCCTCGAATGCAGGTGCCGCCCCCTCAAATGTTAGTGCCGCCCCCTCGAATGTAGGTGCCGGCCCTCCTCGAATGTAGGTGCCGCCCCCTCGAATGAAGGTGCCGCGCCGCCCCCTCAAATGTTGGCCCCGGCCACTTAGGCATAGGTGTCATCGGTCATCCCATTAAATGTAGGTGCCGTCCCTTCGAATGTAGATGGCACCCCCTAGGGTGTAGTTGCCGCCCCCTAAGGCCTAGTTGCAGTGCAGCCCCCTCAAATGTAGGTGCCACCCCCTAAGTGTAGGTGCCACCCCTTGAAATGAAGGTGCCTTTCCCTCACATGTAGATAGATGCCGCCCCCCCCATGCGTGGGTGCCGCCCCTCATGTTAGGGTGCTGCCCATAAAATGTAGGTGCCGCCCCCTCTAAGTGTAGGCGCTGCCGCCTCAAGTGCAAATGCCATCGCCGCCCCCTCTAATGTAGGTACTACCCTCCTCTCAAGAGCTTGAGATGTCACAAGGCCGTATAGAGCTGTCGGACATGCAAAAATGACCAGTTTAAAAAAAAATCGTGGATTTCGATTCCTGGCTCGCCGCTCACCGCTCAGTGGGGGGTGGGGGTGGTGCCCAGTGGAGGTCGCAGGGGGGCATCAGGGCCATGGCCCCCCCCCAAAGACAAATCAGGGGCCATCATATAATTTGCCCCCTTAAACCACCGATGGGCCCCGATGGGCGTAGGGGCCCTGGCTCTTACCCGATTGTCACGAGGCTCAAGAAACCAACGCCAGGTATTATGTAACAGCCTCCATACCGGTCTTTGAGTATCCTTGACTTCTGAGGGCGCTTCAGTGGCCTTCAAGGGCCCACCTTGACCGATGAGGGCCCACATCGACCGATGAGGGCCCACATCGACCTCTCAGGGCCCTCCACTGGCCCTTGAGGGCCCTACAGCGGCATCAGGACTCAGGAGTCCCCCAACCGGCCTTTGAGGGCCCCACACTGATCTCTTGATGGCTTCATTTCTGTCTCTGGGGTTCAGGACTGACCTTTGGGTGCCGGTCACTAAGAGCCCGCATCGACCTCTGAGGGCCTCAAACTGGCCTTTGAGGGCCCTGTACTGGTCTCGAAGGCTCCCAAACTGGTCTCTGGGGGTCCACGTCTCTAATGGCCTCATTTCTTTTTCTGGGGGCCCAAGACTGGCCTTTGGGTGTCCCCGAGGGCCCGTACTGACTTCTGAAGGCCCGATGCCGGTCTCTAAGGGTCCACATCGGCCTCTGAGGGCCCTATGCTGACCTCTGGGGTCCAACACCGACCCATGCTGGTATTTTAGGGCCCCACACTGACCTCTGAGGGCTCCACGCTGGCCTTTAAGATACCACACGGGGCGGTGCTTTTCCGCGCCTGAATGATGCTGTGCCGCAACACCTAACACTCATTCCCATTCATAGATGGCGTTGCTAATCGGCGCCTGAATGATACTGTGCCGCAGCACCTAACAACTCATATCCCCGTTCATAGATGGCGTTGCTTTTCGGCGCCTGAATGATGCTGTGCCGCAGGACCTTAGTCTTCACAATTCACATTTCTGTTCATAGATGGCGTTGCTAATCGGCGCCTGAATGATACTGTGCCGCAGCACCTAACAACTCATATCCCCGTTCATAGATGGCGTTGCTTTTCGGCGCCTGAATGATGCTGTGCCGCAGGACCTAAGTCTTCACAATTCACATTCCTGGTCATAGATGGCGTTGCTAATCGGCGCCTGAATGATACTGTGCCGCAGCACCTAACAACTCATATCCCCGTTCATAGATGGCGTTGCTATTCAACGCCTGAATGATACTGTGCCGCAGCACCTATCGACTCGTATTCCCCTCCATAGATGGCGTTGCTGTTCGGCGCCTGGACGATGCTGTACCGCAGCACTTTTTGTTACCCAGCGCGCGACGGTCTTTCACTGTTGAAAATGGTGTGCCGCGTTACTCGTTATCGGCAGCCCCGTCCGCAGAGGGGGCTGATATCTGTGCAGATATCTGCAGTGGCATCGAGCCACTACGACGCTGCACAATACGGAGGCAAGTCCTGTCACAGTGCGGCACCATACGGGCTTAGCACAATAAATCCATAAGGCATAGTAATCCGTAAGACTTTCCCACACATTGTCATGGATTTTAACACACAACAGTTCACTGCCCCGTTCCGAACTCCCCCGTCCCGGTAAGAATAATACTTTCAAGTCCCAGCGCATTAGCTGTCGACCATAAATTCTACGTGAAATATTTCAATAGCGAACCATCCGCCTGGTGCGTGTTCTAGTTGGGAATGACTGCTGAGACGTCCAACTGACCTGTGAAAACAGACTGCGGTCGATGCGGTCCGAGAGGCGCTGCGCGGCGTCCACGGCGAGCTCCTCTTCCTCCCGCAGTCTGTGGAGCCGTCACGCACTGGTCACGCACACTGCACAGTCACACACTATAAAAGTCACCCAATAGTCACTTGATGGAAACGGGATAGTAACACTAGTCAGTCGGCTGTCACCGGACAGCCACACTAGTCAGTCGGCTGTCACCGGACAGCCACACTAGTCAGTCGGCTGTCACCGGACAGCCACATTAGTCAGTCGGCTGTCACCGGACAGCCACACTAATCAGTCGGCTGTCACCGGACAGCCACACTAGTCAGTCGGCTGTCACCGGACAGCCACACTAGTCAGTCGGCTGTCACCGGACAGCCACACTAGTCAGTCGGCTGTCACCGGACAGCCACACTAGTCAGTCGGCTGTCACCGGACAGCCACACTAGTCAGTCGCACAAACCAGTCGGAGAGAATACAGTACAGACACGCGAATGGTTTTAGAATACGCGGCAAATGAATTTTACCGGCGGGAGCTGTGAGGCCGAACACATTTCAAGCGGGGAGTGGTAAACCCTAAATCTAATAACCCAGAAAGAAGGAACCGGGGTTATCTGACACTGATCCGGCCAGCAGGAACTGGGGATAATCTGACGACTGACACTGACCCGGAGAGCAGGAACTGGTGTTATCTGCCACTGACCCGGACAGCAGAAACTGGGGATAGTTTGACACTGACCCGGAGAGCAGGAACTGGGGATAGTTTGACACTGACCCGGAGAGCAGGAACTGGGGATAGTCTGACACTGACCCGGAGAGCAGGAACTGGTGTTATCTGACACTGACCCGGCCAGCAGAAACTGGGAATAGTCTGACACTGACCCGGAGAGCAGGAACCGGGGATCACCTGATACTGACCCGGAGAGCAGGAACTGGGGTTATCTCACATTGACCCGGAGAGCAGGAACCGGGGATCGCCTGATCGCCTGACACTGACCCGGACAGCAGGAACTGGGGGCCGGCCGGCGCCGCGGCGGCCGACTCGGTCGTGTGCTCGGCGCCCGCGGCCGGCGGGTCGGCGGCGCCGGCGGCGTCTGGGGCGGCCGGCGTGGCGGCTGCGCTGGCCGTCTGCCGCCGCGGAGTGCGCTCAGAGTGCTGACGCACCACCTGGGCCTGACGGCGGCCAAAACCGAGAGCGCAGGTCAGAGCCGCCGGAACGCGGGAGAGCACAGGTCCGGGCCGCCAGCGGTCACCGGCACACGGTGGGAACAGCGGCCTCCCCAATACAGATATACATAGAAAACACGTGAAAATGTGATAGAACAGTGTGAAAATAAAAGGCCAATCTTCTATTGATTAGGCTCTATGCGTGAATCAAGCTTGCTTTGAATATCTTTTTTTTCAAAGGCCACTTCCTCGTCAATTCTTGTATGCGTACAATGCACCGACACAACTCAAAATAAACAAAACAGAAAGGAGCCTTACAGTTTGATTTTTTTCTCAAATGAAGGCAGGCACCAATCAATGGATAAAGAAAATAACACAGGGGAGGGTGTGCCCCATGCAGACGTATGGTAGCAGCGCGGAACTGTGGCGTTTCCTTTGGCTGGTACAACCGGTGCAACCCGCCACCGGCGCCGGCAACTCACGTACCGCCGGTTACTGACATACTGCTGGCGGCGCCCAGTACTCACATACTGCCGCCGGTTACTCACATGCTACTGCTGCTCCAGCTGCCGGTTACTCACATACTTCTGTCGCTCCAGCTGCCGGTTACTCACATACTGCTGTCGCTCCAGCTGCCAGTTACTCTCATACTGCTGTCGCTCCAGCTGCCGGTTACTCACATACTGCTGTCGCTCCAGCCGCCGTTACTCACATACTGCTGTCGCTCCAGCCGCCGGTTACTCACATACTGCCGCCGGTTACTCACATACTGCTGTCGCTCCAGCTGCAGGTTACTCACATACTGCTGTCGCTCCAGCTGCCCGTTACTCACATACTGCTGTCGCTCCAGCCGCCGTTACTCACATACTGCTGTCGCTCCAGCTGCCAGTTACTCTCATACTGCTGTCGCTCCAGCTGCAGGTTACTCACATGCTGCTGTCGCTCCAGCTGCCCGTTACTCACATACTGCTGTCGCTCCAGCTGCCGGTTACTCACATACTGCTGTCGCTCCAGCTGCAGGTGCATCTGCAGCTGCTGCAACTGGGAGGCGGCGCTCGACGAGCTGGCGGAGCTCGAGGCGCCCGAGGAGGCCGACGCCGGCGTGCGGCGCGCGCCAGACAGCTGCGACAACAGCTCCGTGATTGGATCCATCGACTCCCTGCGGCGGATATATGGATGTCACGTCACGCCGGGTACTGTTTATGAAAGTTGTGTGCATGACTAGTGACTACACACAACTTTCATAGATCACAGCTGACAGTGTATGAAGGCTTGGAGAATGAGATAGCAGCAGCAGACTGGCATGCGGTAGGCTGGCCGTCAGAGCGGCTGGATGGCCTGTCCACCGGAACGGGCTCAGCCGCGCCGTTTAGACCAATGCCCATCTCCCCCCCTCGCTTCCCCCCTGAATTTTGTTCCCCATAGCCATCAACCTTAAAATGTGCCTCACCAAACGAAACAGACTTTCAATTATACATTCGGCAGGATGGTGCCGACACAGTGGCTCTGACTGCCACTGGGTGGCGGAAGCCGGGCTCTGTGAGGACACAGGCCCTAGTAGGAGGTCAGAGCTCACTGCTCAGTCATGCACCCCTCTCTCCGCCGCCCACCTGAAGTGCATGTTGTTGAAGCGGCGGGTGCGTGTGCCGGCGCCGGGCCGACTGGGGTGCGGCGGCCGCCGGCCGGCCGGCCGCGCCGCCGACAGCGGCTCCTCGTCGAAGGCGACGGGCAGGCGCGCGCGGCCGCCGCCGCCGCCGCCGCGGTGCTCGGCGCTCAGGTGGGCCGCCAGGTGCTCCGTCACGTGGTTGGGCTCACCGAGCGGTACCGCCGCGCACACGGGGCACACCTGGTGGTACGGGGGCGCGGCCGGTCGGTACACCGGTACATAGCGAACGGATCAAACATCCACCAACAATATGCGTGGCCAGAACGTCTCAATAAAATACGCGCTGCACGGGCCGGTTGACAGCCGACAGGGCACCCGGCAAGTACGTACCACCTGGGCGGCCGTGTGCGCGTGCTCGGCCGTCACGTGCTCGATCAGCGCGTGCTCCGTGAGCCCGAGTCGGCCGCAGTGGGGGCAGACGAGCGACTGCGGCTGGTCGGCCGGCACCGCCTCGCCGCCGTAAAACAGCTCTGCGGCGCACAGACAGAGTATAGTCAGTGGAGTACAGATGGCGTACAGTCAGACGGAGTACAGTCAGTGGAGCACAGACAGTGGAGTACATTCAGTGGACTGTGGAGTACAGTCAGTGGAGTACAGTCAGTGGAGTATAGTCAGTGGAGTACAGTCAGTGGAGTACAATCAGTAGAGTACAGATGGCGTACAGTCAGACGGAGTACAGTCAGTGGAGTACAGTCAGTGGAGCACAGTCAGTGGAGTACAGATGGCGTACAGTCAGACGGAGTACAGTCAGTGGAGCACGGTCAGTGGAGTACAGTCAGTGGAGCACGGTCAAACAGACAGCAGCTAGGGCGACAGGGAAACCAGAACAATATACCAGGCGATTCATCACTTATGAATGAGAGCTGTCACACTCGTTGAGAGGAATCAATTGACATGCGATGTCTCAGTTACGCCAGACCCCAGATGTCAACACAGAGACCAATTAGTTGATCAGAGGAAGGAAAATACAATATGTTGGATGATGTCGCATAGCTGTGGAAATTCTCTCGATCGAATCCACATCCACAAATATGTAAGTTTGTGTCCACTCGGCCACTCGGCACCTGTAATACCACCAGGCGCCGCGCCGTTGACGGCGCCGCCCTCCCCGGAGACCCCCCCCCCCCCCTCAGTCCGGCGCCGCGGTCCGCCGGCGGCTCTCACCGGCGTCCGTTCGGGTCAGGATGCACTGCATCGGGTGCTCGGCCGTGTGGCGCGTGGTCGTGGCGCCCGCCTCGTGGCACGTGGCGCACAGGTCATAGTCGTAGCAGACCAGGCACTTGTAGCGCCGGCCGCGGAAGTTACTCCGCAGACACGCGTCACAGCTGACACCTGAAAGCGGAGCCCGCACTGAGTCCATGAAGCTGAGGCTGACACATGCATGTACATCAATCAGTGACACTCGGGCAATACAGACGAGACCTATAACTCCCACAGACATGAGAGAGGCTTTAGTACAGGAACGGGGCTCGCAAGGCTGTCATATCAGTACTTCAGCAGTTTCCCGCTGCTGAAAGGCATCTTTGTGTGCAAAGACATTTGGATGAGACTTCGATCAGTAAATATTCCATATAAATAAAAACATTGTTTTGTTACCAAATGGCGCAGTCGACTATCGGATGCGATGTAGCACGGACTGTGTGTGGTGCTGCGTGGATATACTGCGATGTCGTGCACATACCCGGAACTGGCGCAATGCACCGCATTGAGCTCGGTTGTGTCGGCCCGGTTCAGTTGTTTCGTACCATCTCCCACCACCGGGCGCTCACCGGTCCGGGCGGTCCGGGGCCCACGCCCCACAGTCCCTGTACCCCATCCCCCCCGGACGGCAGTAGCCAGCGGCCAGCGGCCAGCGGCCGGAGGCGCGGGTCACCGAGCCTAGCCAACTGCGCCTGGATCGGTACAGTGTACACACAATCAACGCCAACCCTAAATTGGCAGAGGTCATGATCACCCGCGCAACAATCTCTGCTCAGCGAGACAAGGCAAATTCAACAGTCTGGATGTTCGGGTCACAAGCACAGCCGTGGGCGTAACAGGACAGTGCAGAATGCCGCACTAGTTTTTAACGGTGCCGAAGGCTCCGACATATTTTTAGTGTCTCTCCGATACATTTTTAATATCTATTTGCCACAAACGGCGCACCACCCCTCAAAAGCTTTACACGAAGGACTCTCGCTCCCCTAGCACCCCTCTTCCGTATAGAGGCGCCCCTTTGGCCATCAGAGGCGCACCTATTGGCCTCCAGGTGCCTTTCCTTTGGATGCAATAAGCCTCCCTTTCGCATGTGGGCACCTTTTTGCATGGAGGAGTTCCTATTATGTACATCACAAGCGCCCCAGTAGACCTCACAGGCGCATTGAGGTGCCCCTGTGGGCTTTATAGGCGCCCCTGGAAGCAGTGTAAGCAATGCCAGCTGGTGTGGTTTGAGCTCCTACTGGTATAAATTGTCTCTGTTGCTGTGAGTCGCAGAGTGGCAGGCCATCAGCGATAGCATATCTATCTATTATCATCTGCTGTGTTAACAAGATTTAGATCCTACACAGAAAGTTAAAGATGAGTCATTCTTGTAAATAAGCACCAGAGCCCAACGTTCAATGACCCCAGCAATGATGCTGACTAGGAGTTACCAATGCATGGAAAAAGATAAAAGATTCTCTTTTCCTCTGTATATTTTCTTCCCAAATGTTTAGTAGCTGAGTCTAATGAGAAGTGTTTAGCAACTCATGGTGATGTTGCTAAGACTACAACTATGAAAGTGCTTAGCAACTCACATTTGACCACAATCTTGATATTAACAGGCTGAAAAACCAACAGAAATTGTGCGCCTAATGGACCAGACATTTATTGTATACAGGTAGGAACACACACTTCCTAATTACTAATTTCTAAGCACCTATCATCAAGATCAGACATCTGGATGGCTTTCCAATGGGTGTTGATAAGGTAGGTATTTGAAGGTAATTGTGAAGGTGATTGATGAGACAAAGACAACATAATGCTGTAATGAACAATGGAAAAATACAAACCTTCATGTCTTGACATCTCAGCCTTCGTTCACTTGTGTTTTACTGCAAATTGAAACCAAAAGTTATCAATCAGCAAAGTTAATGCACTGAGCTTCAATCTTGATGTGAAGCTGAAGCAAGGCAATATTAACCATCTGAACAAATTGACTCCTAAGCAATTCAGTATATGTGAAGATGAAGTCCAAGTGGTATATGTAGGTTAGGTTGGTAGATTGACTTATGATTAGGTTGTAGGTTGAAACCACGAGGCTGCTAACGAAAAATTAAAAAATAAGTATTTAGTTATTTGTATCTGGTATTGATATATAACAAGCTCTGCTATTGCCACTATACTGCACCAGCTGGCAAATTGTTGGTAGGTAGTAGGTTGGTAGGTTGAATATTAGTAGGTAAGGTTAGGTCAGGTTAGATTATGCTTTTTATCTGCTCGGACTTCATCTTCACATTTCCCATATATTCAACTCCCATTCCCAATAAGATGCTTCATTCTTAAATCTAAAAGTTCTGTGAATTCAGCCAGGTATGGTTCAATCCAGTTATAACCACTGATTTAATTAACCTTAGCTCAACTCAAGCTGTTTAACAAGTAAAAACAATCTGAATCCATTATAATTTATATTTTGATCAGCATTGCTAGCGGCGCGCTACACCTTTTTAAAACAAAAACAGGTCACAGCATCATGACAGTCTTGGTCTATGAATGAAAATGGCCTTTAACCATGGAACTTTTCAATAGCTACGGACTTTTTCAGAAAACACGCCACAATAATGTAATTCGACTTTTATCCCTTCTCACAAGCAACTGAATAATTGCAGCATATATTGCGCAGAAAATACAATAATTCGACAGTAGATATGTTCTAAAAGCTAAAACCAGCGCAGTGCTGCCAGATTTGGAGGATTTCCGCAAATCTGGAGGATTTTGAACTCTATTTGCGGACAAATTTCGCTTTTGGAGGATTTTTGATTCTGGAGGAAAATCTGGAGGATTTGTCGCCCGATTATTACATTCAATTTCATGGAAAAATATAACACATTCAAGACTAAAAAGGCATTTTCCTGCCCAGCGTCACCCTACCCGTTAGGATATACCACGTCCTTTATCACCGTGAGACTGCAGAATGTTTCAGTCTGTAGCTATATCTACGAGGGTACCAAACTACTGACTGATCTAAGGGGGACATTTGGGGCAAATGCCCCCGGTACCCCTGCAGCGCCCGTAATCGACGAAAATTTTCGTTTTTGTTAAAGGGACCCTCCCACCTTCAAAAAAGTTTATGAATTGGCATGAAAGTGATGTCGCTCGGTTCAGAAAGAGCGAAAACGAATATCTACCAAATTTTACCGAAAAATATTCACCGGTTTTCAAGATATTAGACTTTTACTTTTGTTTACTTTTTGGGATCTCCGCTGTTCCTAGCGACTTTATTTGGAAGCAATAGTTTGGCAGCTGAAAGTGCGGCACTTGTTGCGCGCAAAGCAGCATATACCACCGCGTGCTACAAAACGTTTTAGTCAAACATTTAAGAATCGTTAGATATCTGCGTTGACGTCACACATTCAAAGGGGTATTCCTATGCATTAGCCCCTCTGAATCAAAATGCTGCAGTTTTGAGATTCAATATTTCCGATTTAAGGCATTTCTCGATGTTGTGAGTGCCGAAACCGGTAATTGTGAGCCAGGGACCCCATTTTGGCTATCTCAACTCAAATCTAATGTTAAGGTGGGAGGGTCCCTTTAAGATTAAACGAAAACTAAACAACCTTTATGAGAAAAAGTATCTTTTAATCTGCACAGCAGTGCGAAAGGATTCGAAATCCGGTGAGTTTTTAGAATTTGGTGAAACTTTTTGGGGGGTATAGCCCCCCGCAGCGTCCAAGACCGCCTTTCTATATCTACCAATAGGATCTGGAGGAATCTGGAGGATTTTTGTAACTGATCTGGAGGATTACAGCCTTCCCCATCTGGCAGCACTGAACCAGCGGCTGTTGACAAGATTCTTCAGAGATAGTTGCACCCCAGTGGTCAGTTTAGCGCCTCAATTGCTAGAATAGCGGAAAAATCATCTATACTACCCTTTTGAACAGGTCCTTGAAAGTTTCACTTTCGTGAAGGACCCTGACGGGCTCTTTTGCTGAAGATTCAAGCCGCTTCAAGCTGTCACCTGTCACTACTATAAGAAAATTAAACGTGTAAGAAAAGTATTTCGTCCTTGGGGGCCTTGGGGGTCAGCCATGAGGTTTTTCTAGGCTTTCGAACCCTACATAATATGTGAACGTTAAGGAAAAGCGTAAGGCCCAAGTAAGGCCCTATCTATAACGAAAAGCGGCTGTTTTTTCGGGGGCATCTTGATCTTCCACAATCCATTCTTGTTCTTGCACCGGGATTCGGGGTGGGGCTGTTTTGTGAGAGTGGTTGGGATAAGTGAACTAGCCAATTTAAGTTCAACCTTGAAATATTCCTGGAAATTATGCATTTCAATATCTTATAGCATAGGTACCTACCTAATGCCTGAAACAATCTCTTTCCACAGTCGGGAAATCACATGCGAGAGCCTATTCAAATAAATTGAAGCATGCTCGCATCAAATGCACGCACCTCCCGGATGCGATTGATACAGGAAGAATTATAATGTATTTGAATAGCCTCTCGCATGCGATTTCCTGAACGCTGAAAGAGTCTGTTTCAGCCAGCCATAATGAAGTTATGTATATGCAGTGCCGTAAAATGGGGTGTCAAGGGACAGTTTTGAGGTGTTTTGTAATATGACTCATGAAGTGTTGGAGATAGAAGCATCAAATTATCAGCATTTTATGTGGAATTTGGTGCTTTACATGCCTGCTACATTTAAGTTTTAAAAATATATACTTGCATATTATTTTTTATTATTTTTCATCATTGTCCCTTAGCACCAGGTGAGTAAACCCCAATGTGGGGTGTTAAGGGACACCTATATTATTCCAAGAAATGGTCATCAAATGCCCACAATTGGGGTGTGAGAGGGCACACAAGTTATTTATTGAAATGTTTTGTATTGTCTGTCACAAAACAAGTCAGGTTCATTCACCACTAATGGTCTTTTTAGCCAATTACATGTAATGTGGTTTACACTTCTGGAAAATGTGCTAATTGTAAGGTAAATGGAACTAAAAAGTACCCTTCTGTCACCTACTAGTTTATGTGGCACACACAGAGTTTTGGAGATGTTTCAATTTTGTGAAAATGTAGCATGATTTTCAAAACCATTTTTGAACCAAATCATTTGCATGAAAAAACCATCCTTGTCCTATAGTCAAGAACAAAATAGTGTCAACAACCACACTCAAGTTTTATTTAGCCTCAAATTAGGAATTTAATATGACCCATAGTTTTTCCCATGCTGTCCCTAAGCACCCCGCTGCCCCTTAACCCTCGCCGGCGCAGGCCATTTTGCGTCCTTCGACGGCACAAGGGTTGGTACGACCCCCCTCGCGTTTGGCCCCTGATCGAGCTAGAGTTTCGCGGAAAAAACGAGCGTGCTGCCCGTCACGAGATAAAGCCGATTATACCCATTTTTAAGGCCCTAGGTCATCGGTTTACCAGTTACCTTCCAGGTCAGGTCAATGACCTAAAAGTCGGGGAAATCGGGACCTGTTAGAAAGTCGTAAAGTGTGGGTGCTGTGGGGTTTCTCGGGCTGCTGATCACGAATATCGTGTTAGTTTTTATCACAGATGATATTTTTAAGCATTTAGACCAGGTTGGATCAGGTCAGGTCAGGTCAACCAGTAGTAGGGGTCGTGACGATTATTCATAGTATGTGTGAACCGTCTCTGACAGCTTCATAACATTTTAGGAAGGCACCAAAGCTACTTCGTAAATGTTTAAACTTTAAATGGTTGCTAAATTCGAATTCAGCTCCAAAAACTAGCCTAGAAACATGCAAAACTCGAACTTGAAACTCGAAGTGAACCGAGGTCACCAAAGGTCAATGACCTGACCTGACCTTCAGGTGACCTTGACATTCACCCTAATGCATGGTAGCAACACAAATCACATGTTTGAACGTTTAAAACCACGAAAGTTTGCAAACGCGCGGGTAATGCGAGCCTACATACGCCGAATCGCGATTCCGGCCAAACATGGTCTCGGAAAGTAGGTCACAGGTCAAAGGTCATTTGCTTGCGTCAGGGTCATGAAATTTTCAGTGTAGGTGTAAAATTGATCAACGCGAGGGTACTGAAACTTTCGTCGCCATCGGACGCTTTTTACGCGAGTTACTCGCGAAAAACCGAGGGGGGGGGGGTCCGGTCGACCCCCCACCCCCATCCCACCCTATACGGGCGAGGGTAAATGTGTAACTTTGAGAAATGTAACCATTATTACCTTCTTCTCAAAAGTTAATGTCAATTGACATATGCTATGATCTGAATAGCTCAGTGCCAAAATTGACCTCAGAGCAAGATCCTGGATTGATTGAGTAGGTAATGCTGTATAGTGCATATTAGTTTTTGCACCACAGTGAGGCAAAATTGGAACCATCTGTGATGTTCTAACCTTTTCTATTAAAAGGCAAAAGTGATTTATAAAATGAGATTCTCTGGTATATGATAGGCTCAGTGTCTGGTGACCTCTGATTCTGAAGGCTATTGAGTTCCAAACTGATGTCCTGCCCGGTGCCCTAGTCGGCCTGAGTTAATACCGGCACAGTTGCCAGCGCCAGGGCTGTCCTGCTGGCTTAGTTCAGGCTGGTCAGGGCAGTGCGCAGCAGTGCAGTGGCCTGCCATGGGCTGAAGCTCGTTCCGGCTCCGCGCTCCCAATTTACATGGCTGTACCGCCCTCCCCCCGATCCGACACGGCTGCGGTGGGGCGGTATCAGACCGGGATGGAAATGAGCCGCCCGGCGCCGTGTCGACCGAGCGCGCCAGACGGACGGACCGGACCGGACCCGGACGGACGGACCGGACCGGACCGGACCCGGACCGGACCGGACCGGACCGGACCGGACCCGGACCGGACCGGACCGGACCGGACCGGACCGGACCGGACCCGGACCGGACCAGACGGCCCCGGACCGGACCGGACTGACCCGGACTGGACCGGACGGACGGACGGACCCGGACCGGACGGACGGACCGGACCGAACCGAACCAGACGGACGGACCCGGACCGGACGGACCCGGACCCGGACCGGACCGGACGGACGGACGGACCCGGACCGGAGCGGACGGACGGACCCGGACCGGACCCGGACCGGACAGGACCGCACCAGATGGACGGCCGGCCGGTCCGCCGCCGGCCTCCGTCGGTGCGACTCCGATCGACCCCGACCATAGGTGTTAATAGCGCCAGGTTTCGCGAGAGACGCATCCAACCTGCATTAGAGTCGCGACCATGGCCTTGGTCGCGACAGTAAAACGCCCGTGAAATGTGTTAGTGCGTTCACGGCTGACTTCGAATGGTTCGATATTTCAGAGCTCACGCCATGGCCTCTGTGAAGAAAGTTCTGGTGTACGGCGGCAAGGGAGCCCTCGGATCCACCTGCGTTAAGGCGTTCAAGGCCAAGAGCTGGGTAAGTTGAGCTGGATGTTGTGTATGTGGGTGTCGTTCCGAGCCGGCGAACTGGGTCGGCCAGTCGTGCTCTAACTGGCTGTCATACGCTGACTGAGGGGTTCTCGGCCATTCATATGTCATATGCTGACTGCGGACTTC